GAGGGACTCGGATGGGAAATTGATTGCCCTATTAAGGGGCTCCCTCTTCTGGCTCATTAAGAAATATCATTGCCTTGTTACTAGTTTCCCTCTTCCTTTATAAAGATGTTGGAAAGCAATTAGTGAAGAAGGCAATGTTTTCTTTTAAAAGGGGCACAGAATAAAAGAAAAGTTCATCACACATGCATTTGGCTTAATAATCCTTAATAAAACCTGTCTATCAATATGCCAGCTGAAACTTTATATTCTCTCTAGATACATTTTTTTTTCCTTGGAAATATATTAAAAGCATATATATAGGCATAGGAAGAGGGACAGCTTGGTTATTTACTCACAAATTAAGAATTTTTATTTCCTGTGTGAAGTATTATGCATTAAGCTCTCAAGCAATGTAACTTTGGAGTAGGCGATTGATTTGAGGGGCATATATATGAGGGGCATTGCTAGGAATGCATCATAAATATTTAATTGTATGAATAGTCTTTGTTCTTTATCTGGCAATAAGAGCTTTAAACACCATTAAAGAAGTGTTTTCTAAATCTCTTAAATGCACAGCAGTAGGAAGAATTTGATACAGGGCTGAAGGAGGATGAAAAGGTCACTATAAGGTTGAATCCTCTTGTCTTAGTTGCATCACTCCACAATGGCACTATTTTGGACAGTCCTCTTTCTTTAGGGTGCAGAAGAATAAACATCAAAAGTTCTCTTTGTTCATCATTCTTCACGAGAAACAGAGACCTCTGTGTTTTCTTCTGTTTGGCATCTTAGAATCCAGTAGCATGATCATGTGGTTTAATCTGTTGGGGTTCGTATTTCTGGCCAAATTAGAACATTATGAATTTGCATTTTTTTTGCAGTGTCCAAAAATAGCATATATTCAAAATAGCATGCTCCAAGAAGAAGAGTCTAAAGAGTTTCATTTCTACCATTATAAAAATGAAACTACTTTTGATTAGTAACACCAGGCCTCAGCTTCTGCACTACTTTAACAAATTACATTATAACAAATTGCATTAGAATTGCAATATCAGAAATGGAAAAAGATTAGTTTAGCCTGTGTTTCAAGAAGTATGTTATTTTGTTGGTTTGGATTATTTCAAGTAATAACCCTGAAATCATCCACAATTTACCTTGGGAGCCAACCCAAGACATAAATAGAACTTTAAAAAGCTGACTACTTCTTTATTATCTTACACAACTAAATACCATCAGTGGTATTTTTAAGTTAAACCAAGGTTATCTCAGGTTTGTTAAAGTAAATTTGTTCTTAGCCAAACACTGATTGAACAGTTTCTGTCATGTGACAGCAGCAAATGCCAACAAAACTGGAGTGAACTTCACATTTAGTGTACTTGATAAATTATAAATGCAGCCATGTCTTTGGCACTATTCTGCCAAACTAGAGGCTTTTGATTGAAGAAGAGAAGTTTTGAAAGAACTTTTTGGACCCAAATTGGTATGCTCTAAAACCATCCTAGCTTACCCCATAGCTAGTATGACAATTAAGTGACATGTTACCTGTTTACATAGGAGACTTCGTGAAGTTCTTTTAATTTTTAGGGGGTGTAGTCTTTAACAAAACCACTTAACAGTTACTTGATCAGAAATAAACACTGTCTACAAAGTTTTAGTACTGTAGGTTATCTGAAGTCAAGTTTTATTCAGTGGTTCAATACTTATGTGGGCAGCATGATAAAAGATTTTAAAATATGTCAGTAATTTTAAAATAAGAATACAACAGTATCAGGGAACATCTCTCTTTGTACCTGTATTTTAAACTTTTTCAAGCCAAGTTATATTTTGAGTTTGAGTTATATTTTTCATTTTTTATATGGATTTCACATTGTGACATTTTATAATTAAGTTTTCTTTTGAATGGAATAAACCCACCTAAATCAACAGATTGTCTTTATATTTTAAACTATGATAACTAATAAAATTGAAAGGAAAATTAAATCGGAAATTTTAAATCTGAACATGTATGGATATATAACTGTAAAGATGGATATAATTTTTAAAAATATTTGCTTTAATTGTTTATTCTATTTCTGTAATATGTTTGGTTCACTCTTTAATTTCTGTATTGGGCCCATCTGCACATTATCACTAAAGAAGAAGAAGTTATTCAAAAGTACTTGGGACCCTAAAAATGCTGTCAGAGGGACTAAGTGCTTCTCTCTTCAAATCAAACATCCTCCTTTAAACCTGTTCTTTAAAATCATTAGAAACTGCATATTATCAGTAGTGCGTTTTGAACATTCTTTTTAATAACTGAATCCCATATTTACCTATAAATCAGCAGCTAGTCATTTCTGTATGGAAATTAACCACAAGCTAACAGTTGCTTTCTCATCTTCTGAGGGCTGAGGTCCTGGATCTGCCAGCCAATATCATACTTTGCTAGTGCTTTCCTACTCGTTTTTCTTTTCTTGGTCATGTACTGACTGTGGGTGAATATATTATAAATTCTACTAGTGTTCCAAGCCACATGGCAATATATGTAATAGTAGGGCGTTTTAATTTATAAGCCCTCAGGGTAGAGGCAATCTGGATTGTATCTTCTCAAAAAAAAAAGAGTGGTTTACTAAAAAGAAGTGATCTGCCCAAATAAGCCTACAAGCAGTGCCAAAAATAAGCAAGGATTTCAAAGGCACCTAGTTACAGTAGTGTGCTTTGAAACTATAAATGTAAATAACCAAACTAATACTAAAAGTGAAAAATTAAAAAAAATAAAATAAATAAATGGTTACATAAATATTCTCCACTGTGCCTTAAAATCACACTTGGCAGAGCCAAAAGAAGAAAATTCCTAGGCTACAAGTGTGGAATATGTTGAATAAACAAATGAGCTTAGAACAATGATTCCCAGTTGAACCAGATTAATTCCAACCAGATTCATTCCCAGATGAACCACAGTTTATGGGCAACCTGTTAGGACTGGGTCTGCCAGGGAGAACACTGTTAAGTCATTGCCCTTCCCTTATTACTTGATGAGCGGAGTTGCCCACAGACCTCTGATCCAAAGATTGGGCAAGATGTGGTACAGAAGTATAGTAAACAATAGTTCCTGTCCAAGGAAGTATACACTCCAAAAGAAAGAACATTCAGTCATTCATAGCAGAGCTTGTGAGGCAATAGTGCCCAATCCAAACAATAAGAATTCATAAATTGGCAGGTTGGCTTAAAACCATAGAGGGGAATGAGAAATTAAAAACATAGCAGCTCTCCTTTTCTCTTTTTCCACTCATATTATGCCATTAAGTGTTCCTTTGCCAAGTTTTCCTCCATATAAAGAAGATTTTTTTTTTTTCCTGGTGTTTTAAGGGAAGTAACTACATGTAGGAGATCTGTGATAAAGCAGGAACAACACTAGAACTTGGTGGACAGCTCTGATACACAGTATGAAGGAAACAGCCTATCTAATAGTACCTGAAATTCAGAGCCATGTAGGCAGTCAACACAAACCTTTCCAAAATTAAGTTCTATTTCTGCCCTGAGCAACTGATCTGTTTTATTCAGCTTATCCAGACTCTTTTCACACAGGTAAAAACCCTATCAGTAAAACTTCAAGAATCAGTTTGGAACCGTAGATACTGATGTCCATGCAAAAATCAAAAAAAAAAATCTGACAAT